CCCCAAAACCCCAAAACCCCGTCCATCTTACAATTATTATATTTGTAATAACCTTTAATTATTTTTCTTAATATTTATTTATTCTCATTTAATTGTTAATTAAGAATTAAAATATAATCAATCCTTTTAAGTGATCAGATTCAATCCTCACTAGTTATTTTATTAGTCCTAGTCACTTTAGTTGATTGAAAAATCACTAGATTCTTTTGTTTCAATTATTTCTTTCTTAGGTTAAACTAATTTAATCTTTTGCTGAATTTATTTTAGCATTTTTTATTTGGCTTAAATTGGAGATCTATCATAATTATATAGTCTTTTGAGGATATTTGTATCCAAACCTTTATTGAAAGTAGGAGTCTGTGGCTATTATTAATTTATGCTCTATGCACGTTCTGTTATAGAACCTCTGAGATTAAAGCCATTATTATATGTGTCTTAAAGCGATTTCTAAAACTGCAAATTATTTCTCTTGTAATTCTAAAATATCTTTTTTGTATCAATGTTCATTTCACGCTGAGAGAGCAATTAGGTTTGCTGCGTTATATTAAGTTGATTTTACTTCTAGTCATTCATAGGCAATTTTTATGCTGAGTTTCTACTCTGATTGAAGCTAAAAGTAGGATTAGAAATACCTGTTAGTTGGAAACCTGATTCATTATTTAGAGTTCTTAAAAGAGTACTGTTCTGCATAATCCTCTCTTTGTATTTCTCAATTTTGAAACTTAGGTCCATTTTTTTGGGAAATAAATTACTTTGTCTCATCTAATTACTGTTTTAGACTTGAAGTCTCAACTTTTGAAGAGCTTTCTTACGCAACTGATCTTATTAATACTTTCAATTCTCATTGGCTAAATTATCAAGCTAGTGTGGTAGTTTTACAATTGCTTATTTACTATTTTATTTCGTATCATCATTATGAAACTATTCTAGAATTTATGGAAAGTCATTAATACTTGAGACTTAAACATCTTTAGCATCTTCTCCAAATATAGATGAAAAGGATCTTGTAGTTTTTGCTCTATTTAGGTAAAGTTTTCGATTTCTTGATTAAAATTTGTTAGTTTAAGTTCTCTTAAAATTCTAGCTTCTATTCATGGTCTGATTCAGATAGTTTTGGTTGTTTGGATCATATAAAATAGAGCTTCTTCATCTTACTGTTTCATCATTGAATTGATTAAGTTTGTCTACTAATAATTCATACTCAGTATTTCCATTTAAGATGTAGGAGGCGAGGCCATCCCATTTTACTGTCTTTTAATGAGCCTTTCTTCTGTCCTCAAACTCCATAAAATAATCACTAGTGAATTGATAACTTGCTGCACTTTACTGTGATTGAGGCCTTTTACTATATTCATTATCTTTTAGGACACTTTATTTTTTCTTTTTCTCTTTTTCATATGCTCCGAAGAAGTAATCAAGCTTTGTCTTAATCTTTTTTTCTCATTCATCTACGAACTCCATGTATTACTCCATTTCCTCATTCTTTAGCATTTATTTGATACGAACTAATCTAGTAAGTCTTCTCTTAGGTTTTTTTATTTCTGCTTCTTACATTTTTTAATATAGAATTAAATTTATTATAAAGATTTATTCAATTATTACAAATTTTAGAATAGGGGTTTTGGGGTTTTGGGGTTTTGGGG